TGCAGGTGCAAAAAATTCACACACATTTTTAAGAGGGCAAGTTCAGCCCTATTACCTTAGAATTCCTCGGCACTGCTCCACTCAGACTTCCATCAGAGGGAGACAGGCACGTGGTGAACTACTCGCCCCAACACAGAGACAACTCATGGCCTAGAATGTGGAGGGGGAAGGAAGGAGGCAGGAGGTAGTTGGCTGGCTGATCACTTACCTATCTCATTACACTAAAACCAGGTCAAGCTCCTAGTTTAACTGTCTGGGTCCCTGGCACAGCCCCATAAAACTAGATCTGGTCACCCCGAGGTGATGAAAATATAAAAATTTCAAGTGAGCAACTGTCCTGACTATCCAAGATCATAACAGTAATTAGAGCTGAACAAGTAATTCTTAACTAACCAGTTAGAAGAGGATTTGCAAAGGCAAAAAAGGGAGTTTCTATTTGTGTTGTTGAAAAATTTCCCCCCTGGCTTGATTAATTTTGCCTTTTTCCTGTACGTGGAACACTTGAAAAAGTCACAGGTCTGGTCTACACTTAAAACTTATCCTGTCATAACTATATTAATCAGGGATGTAAAAAAATACTCCCCCACAGAGATAGTTATGCCAACAAAACCCTCAGTGGAGACGCATCTATGCTGCAGAAGGAGACTGCGAATGGTGTGCGGAGAGGTAGTGTTGCTACACTGGCAGAAAAATTCCTTTGATTGGTGTACACTGTGTCTACACTAGGAGGCTATGCCGGCAAAGGCTCTGTAGGGTAGACGTGGCCACAAATGTCTTAAATGTACTTGCTGTGCAAAATTATTCAATTCATTTTGTTTGCTGAGTTACTTGCTATTTAAATTTCTGATGCATTGCCTTGGAGCAATTGGTCACATTAGTCACATGGTCATGTTTCTGTTCTCTGATTGAATTCAACTCTTCTGATCTGCAAACGCTTGCAGAAAGTCATTCGTACTTTTTCTTTTAGTGACTGTTTGAACATACGATCTTGAGACAGAGTTTCCGTGAGTGCTTGTGCTGATAAATCTTGATTATATACCCTATTATTAATATCATATGTCGTTCTCAGGAGCCCTACTCAGGGACCAAGACCAACTGCACTAGATGCTGTACAAACACAGAATAAAGAGATGGTCTCTGCCCCAATTGCTTACAATCGAGGTAATGTTTGAACAAAGCAAACCCCAAAAGGTATGAAAATGTCTGCAGCTATTGGATACAAACTTTGGCCCTGATCTTGCAACAAACTCCATGTGGTCTACCTCTGCAAAATTTACTGCAGGATCCAGACCACTGAGTTTTGTCTGTATACACACAGCTCTAATAATAATTCATTAGCACAGATGTGCTTCTCATCTTCAAAGCACTTTAACTGGTAATTCATTAACACTCCCTACAGCAGGGGTTCTCAAACTGGGGGTCGTGACCCCTCAGGAGGTCACAAGGTTATTACTTGGGGGGGTTGCGAGCTGTCAGCCTCCATCCCAAACCCCGCTTCACCTCCAGCATTTATAATTGTGTTAAATATAAAAACTATGTTTTTAATTTATCAGAGGGGTCGCACTCCTAGGCTTTCTGTGTGAAAGGGGTCGCCAATACAAAAGTTTGAGAACCCCTGCCCTACACCCTTGTGAGATAGTAAGAATTATTGTCCGATGTTACAGATGGAGAAACTGAATTAGTTTCAGACATTAGTGCCACGTTCCTTGTGTCAGAACCTGGGCTTTAGAAGTCAGATGTCCTGGCTGTGTTTCAAAGCAGCACATTGTGCTGAGAGAGATTCCCTTTTATTATCTCACTTTACAAACAAGGAATGTTCCAAAACATAAAAAAAAACCAGAGCCGGAGAACAATATGAAATGAACAAACAACTGGCTAAGGATAGATTCACATTAGCAGTTGCTAACTCACACGTGTCAACTAGTTTACAGGTACCACCAGGTATGCCACTTAAGGGCTTCATCCTGTAAGGTGCTGAACTCCTGGAGGTGCCAAGCACCCTCAATTCCCATTGAAATAAATGGGATCTAAGAGTACTCAGCATCACACAGGATCAAACCCTAAGTGAACTACAGACCCATTTACACTTAGATCGTTGCTACCCATTTTTCTACACCAGTGGAACCAATAGTGTAAGTGCAAACTTTGACTGGACACTGACAGGTCTGGAGATTTGCTTGTTTTTCACCACTAATGTGCCTGATCTAAACTTGCAGTTACTGGTGGTAGCATAGGTGCAGAAAACCAGGTTGCAGTTTTGTAATGGGTCAGGCAGGTCACTTACCCATTGCTTAGAGCCATTGAAATGTACTTGAATCTCTATTAGGAATCGTCCTACCTGAGTAGACCTGCTGTTTATCAGTGAATGGTGATGTGGCTTCAACCGCATAGGTGAGCTGTCACATTAGGATTATGGTAGATGATCTTTCTCATTCAATGTAAATACTTGTATGCAGTGTTGTTGTAGCCATGTCAGTCCCAGAATGTTAGAAAGACAAGGTGGGTGAGGTAATATCTTTTGGTGAACCAACTTCTGGGGGTGAGAGAGACACGCTTTCATGCTTCCAAATCTTGGTCTTTCTCACCAACAGATGTTGGTCTAATAAAAGATATTACTATGGCTGTTGATTAATCGCAGTTAACTCACGTGATTAACTCAAATTCACTACAATTAAAAAATTAATTGCGGTTAATCGCACTGTTAAACAATAGAATACCAATTGAAATGTATTAAATATTTTGGATGTTTTTCTACATTTTCGAATATATTGATTTCTATTACAACACAGAATCCAAAGTGCACAATGCTCACTTTATATTATTTTTATTACAAATATTTTCACTGTAAAAATGATAAACAAAAAAAATAGTATTTTTCAATTCACCTCATACAAGTACTGTAGTGCAATCTCTATCGTGAAAGTGTAACTTATAAATGTAGATTTTTTTTTTGGTTACATAACTGCACTCAAAAACAAAACAGTGTAAAACTTTAGAGCCTACAAATCCATTCAGTCCTACTTCTTGTTCAGCCAATCGCTAAGACAATCAAGTTTGTGTACATTTACAGGAGATACTGCTGCCTGCTTCTTATTTACAATGTCACCTGAAAGTGAGAACAGGAGTTTGCATGGCACTTTTGTAGCCGGCGTTGCAAGGTATTTACATGCCAGATATGCTAAACATTCATATGCCCCTTCATGCTTCGGCCACCATTCCAGAGGACATGCTTCCATGCTGATGATGGTTGTTAAAAAAACAATGTGTTAATTAAATTTGTGACTGAACTCCTTGGGGGAGAATTGTATGTCCCCTGCTCTGTTTTATCTGCATCCTGTCATACATTTCATGTTATAGCAGTCTCGGATGATGACCCAGCACATGTTGTTTGATTTACGAACACTGTCACTGCAGATTTTGACAAAATGCGAAGAAGGTACCAATGTGAGATTTCTAAAAATAGCTACAGCACTCGACCCAAGGTTTAAGAATCCGAAGTGCCATCCAAAATCTGAGAGGGACGAGGTGTGGAGCATGCTTTCAGAAGTCTTAAAAGAACAACACTCCAATGCGGAAACTACAGAACCCGAACCACCAAAAAAGAAAATCAACCTTCTGCTGGTGGCATCTGACTCAGATGATGAAAATGAATATGCATCGGTCCACTCTGCTTTGGATTGTTATCAAGCAGAATCCATCATCAGCATGGATGCATATCCTTTGGAATGGTGGTTGAAGCATGAAGGGACATATGAATCTTTCGCACATCTAGCACGTAAATATCTTGCGACGCCAGTTACAAAAGTGCCCCGCGAATGCCTGTTCTCACTTTCAGGTGACATTGTAAGCAAGAAGCAGGGTGCATTATCTTCTGCAAATGAAATCAAACTTGTTTGTCTGAGTGATTGGCTGGACTAGGACTCTAAAGTTTTACATTGTTTTATTTTTTAATACAGTTATTTTTTTGTATGTAATTTGACATTTGTAATTTCAACTTTCATGATAAAGAGACTGCACTACAGTACTTGTATGAGATGAATTGAAAATACTATTTCTTTTGTTTTCTACAGTGCAAATATTTGTAATCAAAAATAAATATAAAGTGAGCACTGTACACTTTGTAGTCTGTGTTGTAATTGAAATCAATATATTTGAAAATGTAGAAAACATCCAAAATATTTAAATAAATGGTATTCTATTATTGTTTAACAGTGTGATTAATTGCGCTAATTCAATCCCACCCAGATTTTCCCTTAGATTATAAGAACAGAGCATCAGGTCCCAGGATCCAAGTGTCTACTGGTGTTCAGGGCCAGTCGTATGTCATTGTTTCCCTGTTCTCCCCCCATCTGCCTGTATCCATCTGTTGTCTCTTGTCTTATATACGGATTGTAAGGTCTTTGGGGCAGGGCCCATCTTTTTGTTCTGGGTTTGTACAGCACTTAGCACAATGGGGTCCTGGTCTATGACTAGGGCTGCTAGGTGCTACAATAATACAAAAAATAAGAATTCCTACACATTTACATACAATAGTGGGGAGTGATCCTGCCTGGCACTCGCCCCTTCTCTAAATGACTCCTACTGCTCTTTCAAAAGAGGTTCCTGTGCTCTCGGTCCACCCGACAAGGGTCTTGCCCTTCTCGCCCATTAGATGTTCTCTGTTTGATAAAGTGTGTGTGGCTGGTATAACAGCTTAAAGTAGAGGACTGAGACTCAGGAGATCAGTTCTACTCCCCAGTCTACCACAGCCCTCAGGCAAATTACTTAATCTCTGTGCCTCAGTTTTCCTGCCTATACTATGGGGGTAATACCTACCTCCCAGACCTGTTGCAAGGGTTAATCTTGCATGTTTGTAAACTGTCCTGAGATCCTTAGAGAGAAGACGCTATACAAGCAGGATGATGGTGCTACAGGAGTTAATGGTTGGATGGAAGCTGCCAGGACAAGGTACAGTGTTTATTATTAATTATTATTATTATTATTAGAAAAGAATCACTTACGGTGCTGCTGCTGTGTTCCCTGCCCTGGAGTTGGGCTGCCAAGGGGGGCATCTTAGCACAACCGCATCGCTCCCATGGCCCTAGGACTGGCTCTGTGGCGTTCAGCACAACTTTGCTTTTGTGCTCCTAACACTGTAACAGGTAGGTTCAGAAAGTGCTTCAAGTGCAGCTAGACAGATGGAAACCGAAGCTAACGCAAGCCCTAGCCTGTGAGAGCTCACTTCAGTCCCCGACGTGCAGGCGTGAGTTTGATGTACATAAATGGCTGATCAGCAGCCTAACTCCACTTTTGCACAAAGCCCTGCCCTGCGTGTTTTGGGGAAGAGGGGAGGGCGTGTCCTGGGTTGCAGGTTTGGATCCAGCCTTCCCCCCTCTGATGGGTGGGATTGAAGTGACGAGTTTCAGCTAGAGGCCAATCCCGTTTGGGGGGCGTTCCCATCCATTCAGGACTCCTCGCCTGGGCTTTGAGGGTATGTAACAGCTGCTTTCAATTTAGTCCCCAATATTTTGGGCGTTTGGGGGAGGGGGGGGTTTAAGGTCACCCGTCTCAAATCGGGCCAGAACCAGGAGAGAAAGGGGGTGGTAGGCGGAGCTGCTGTTAATCAGGGACTGAGCAGTCGGATCCGTTGAGGAAGAGGGGAGAAATTAAAAGCAGTTTTTCCCTGGGTTTTGCTTTACCCTCGCTCTCCCTCCCCGTCCCTGCACGGAGATCTGAGGAAGACCAGGCATTTGGCCGGGTGATATGCGTGCTGGTGGTGTTTGTTTAACATCGCGCTGGGATCCATGCAGTTTGGGGGAGAGGAGGAGGAGCAGGGACACTTCACTTCCCCCGCCCCTTATTTTGCTTGGCAAAAACAAAGCTGCGCTGCGGGTCAAGGTCCCGAGAGGAGGTTTAGGAGTTTATTGAGTAGATTTTGGGGTGCGGGGGTGGCTTTTGCAGCTCGTCTCGGTGCAGGGCTTTGCAGGCGTTGCCGGAGCGTAGATCTAGTTTACAAATCCCAAGGCCGGATGTCTTACTAGCAGAGAGGGCGGAATCGGAACCCGTAGATTTGTGCTTCTTTACGTGAAACTTGTTGGGGGGAGGCGTGTGAATGGATCTGCCAAGAGGCAGCTGCCAGCAGGGGGGCGCGGACTGCAGCTCTAGTTTCCTCTCTCTCCCTAAACCGGCAGCTGTGTGATTGTTATTTTTAAATTCACACCAAAACAATCCTCGCCGGAGCCCCGTTGAATGGAGCGGGGCCTCTAGCAGCCGCCGTCGCGTTCCATTTCCGAACGCAAAGTAGCCAGGCACCGGTGAACATTCCAGCGCCGAACCCCTGTTGACGCGCGAACGTTCTGTTACCGAACGCTTGCTACCTGCCGTGCACTGAGCCCACTTTGCGACCCAAACCGGAGCAGCCGCCTTCCTCCTGCTCTCGATCCACTGAGCTCTCATCTCCCAACTGATTGAACCTGATTCCCTTTGCAAACATGGAGTTGCATCTCTAGTCTCCACCCCGCCTCCTATGCCGGTGGGAGGGAAAGATGGACAGCCCCGGGGTTGGGCTACCCCCGCTGGTCCCTTTTCTCCCGCAAGCCGGTGGTCCTTGCAGCTTTCTTGCAGAGCGGCTCAAAATAGTTTAAAGACGCAAAGGAACTGTGAAGGTCGGGGACCGGGGGGTTGAGTTGGCATGGTACTGAGCCGGGGAAAGGAAACACTGCAGAGGGGGCGTCCATCATTTGCTGGAGCCAGAGACTAGGGTTTAGGGTGTTGGACTGAGCTGCATGGAGTTAGCTACCGTGACGGGCTGGCCCTCTCCCTGCTGGACTCGCTGCCCGGGGGACGAAAGGGGCTTCCTTGCGCTCGTTTGAACGCTAGCAAAGTGAGGCCGCGCACCGCGAGCAAGGCTGGGTTTTGGGAGGGAGCGGGAGCAGCGGGCTGGAAAGCGAAGGAGGGTTCACGTTACAATTTACAAGGCGTGGATTCGGGGAGGGCGGAAGGGATTCTGCCTCTCCTCTCTCCAGCCTAGAGGAGACCCCACCGGGGGAATCCACTCCAGAATCCTGCCAGCCTGAGTTGCTTTCCCCCTTTCGTGCTGGAGGGATACTGCTGTTTGCAACCTCAGCTATGGAAGCAGCGTAACCTGCCCGTAGTGCCTACTGCATGAGGCTGACTGAGTGAATACGCAGTACACACACTCACAGTCCTCCCCCCGCCCCCTTCCTCGCTATGTAGTCATAGGGCGGGATTAGCCCTTCTTCTTGGGTAGAAGAATTAGCCCCACCTCTTGTGCTTTATTGGCTAGGGTTTCCAAATCGCCCCGCCTATCAGAAGACCTGACTGTATTTCAGGTTGGTCTCCCGCCCCAAATGGTAAAGGACTCTCTAATTCCGTCGGGAAGACGGAGGAGAGAAGTTTTCCTCTCCTTGGAGCTGATTGGTAGAAATGAAAGCATTGATCCACCCCCTTCTGCCTCCAAGGGAGGGAGAATGGGGGAGCGGGAGAAGGCAGGTCTGCTGTCTTCCCCCATCGTCCCCCCCACACGTGTAATAGATCCGCCCCACGTGGGGCGCAGCCATCCCGGAAGTGAAGCTGCGCGGTCAATGCTGGGTGGGACTTAGGGACAAAAGGATTCGCCCAGAGATCAGTCAGATCTTTCCGGCAAAGGGCTAGAGAGAGGCAATCCCCCCACCCCCGACAAGCCCTCCTGCTGGGACAGCGGACCACCTGCTAGGGTGCCTCTTTTGTAATAAAATCCCTCCCCCCCCCCCGCCACCGGGCAAAGGCAGGGGTGACTGCTTAGGACATTTTCGGAGGGAGCTCTCTCTCGCACCGCTTTAGAGTCACAGGCCAGCCCCCTTCTCTTCCAGCTTCCGGGGAAGGAGAGGAGGCGGGAGAGTCATCCTAGCTTTGCTCTCTGGGCTTATATTGCTTGGCAGCAAAAGCACTTGGCGGCCCTGTTTCCTCCCCCGTGTCGCAAGTTTTTTTGTTTGTTTTGTTGTTGTTGTGTTGTGTTGTGTTTTTTTTTTGAGCGGGAGACAGCAGAAATCCAGCCTTGGTTCACTCCGGAGATTTAACTCGGAGACTGCACGGAATCTACCTGGCTGGATACCTGCAATACTACAGCTCACCCGCTTGTGGGTCTCTTTCCCCCCCCACCCCCCCGGCCGCATAGTACGCCCATGAGGTGAAAAAAATAGGTTAAGAGCGAGGAGCAACATACATCGAGCTTGGTTTGGGGGGTTTTTTTTGACGGGGGGGTTGGTAATGAGAGAAACTCCCCCACCTTTTCCCAATTTCTTTTCGCTCCTTCCAAGTCCAGCCTGGCGCCAGAACGTTTGGACTGCCCCGTGGAGCCATATTTTTACTTTTCCCCTTCTCTGAGATCTATCCTGAAGGTAAAGAGTGTGGCCCAAAGTTTGGCACACCGGCCCCAGCCCTCCTCAGGCCAGCGTATGGGAAAGAGGATGGCTTTCTCCAAATATTTTGTCAATGTGCCCCCCCCCTTCGTGTCTTGACCGCGTACCAGCTCCTCCCTTGCTGTGATTCCCCCCCAGTCCCTGGATAAATGAACCTCTGTCACAAGCAGACTGCTGGGTTGATTTCAGTTTAGGGGTCTGTAAAGCTCTTTGGCTGTGGATCGTACGATGTATCTGCCCTCCGGTTAGCTACAAATCCTGTACTGTGTAGTCAGCGAGGAGCACAGAGAGAGGGAGCTCTGCGTGCGTGTTGTTTGTCTACTACCATGTACTTCTATGTCCTGAAACGTGGAAATTGTGTGTAATCTGCAGTACAGTACGTGGATTTTCCCTTAAACCCTGTTTTACCCTAGTGATGTCGTGCTTTGCTTTACAGTAGGGGTGGAGCCTTAACCGTTAGTATGCTTTCAGGGACAGAGTTAACACGTAGAAAAAGGGGGTACCAGGTTATTCCAGGCACTAAGGGGGCAAGGCAAAGGAGTAAATCACCCCAGTTTTTTGGTACGAGTGACTCGCTCGGAATGGTGAGACAGTCCAATGCAGAGAAATCGATTCCTTCCCTCACTGCTTTTACTAGCCTCAGACTCCTAAAAAGATGTGAAGCCTCATTGAAGTCTCTCTCTTAATTCATAACTACAAGTTCAGTCATGTTGGAAGATATTTTAAAACTAAAGCCTGCACGTCTGCTCCAAAGCTGCTGCGAGCTAGCTGGAGGCGTGTCTGCTGGAGGAAGCTAAAGAGGGTTTAATAGTAGCTCTCACTGTTTGTGAGTGTGTGCACATGCACTAAAGAGAACGTGTGAGCGAGGGGTGCTGGCACTTGAGGATTTCTGAGCTGGCTGGGCGACGCATAACCTGCTCACCTTTTTATTTTAATTACAATCATGCCTCGACATATGAATCAGAAAGTCGCTTGTTTGAAACTGCAGCAACAGGCAGCATCCTGCCACCCAGTACTATAATTAGCAGGGTTATAAGTGGAAGGTGAGGGACAATCTCCAAGTGATCCAGATATAATCCCTTTTTACACCAGGGGAGAGAAAGGAGTTGTGTGGGCAACACACAGCAGAGGTATAGAACCAAATCTTTAAAATAGCATCATCCATATGTTTAAGACCTGTGTGCTTCTTTGCCTTGGCTGTCCCATGCCTATTACAGTAGGCTCTTCTAGTCAGGGAGGTGTCTTTTCTCTGTGTACTCTTGACTGTATCTGAGGTACAAAATATACTTCCAAATAAAGTTTCTGGACAGTTTTAAGGCTTGGAATAGAAAGTGTGTGTAATGGTATTGGCCTTTGGGAGGTGGGAGGCAATAAGAATACAGTTTCATTAGGGTACCACCAGAAGGTGTCTTTCATTTGTTGTCTGCATGGTGACAGTTATTAAATGCCAATAATTCATTGTGATTTACACTGCTAGGGATTTATTTTGACCATCCTCCTCTCCTTTGGATACATTGGGCTTGTATTGAATGGATACACTGTGTCACTGACTTCTGTAGGAAGGAAGTATTGAGGATGAGAACTGTACATGTTCCTGGCGTGGAGAAGCCTCTAGGGCAGTTGGTCAGTGCTCCAGAAGTCAGCAGTGATGGAAATACATTAATTCCTGTGTGGAATTAATAAAGCAAAGTCACTGTGGTGGCTAAAAGTGATCTAAGACTTGGATTTCCATCTCAGTTATTTAGCGATGGGGTCATGCAACTTCAGAGTGCTATTTTATAAATAAATGCACGCTTTATTTTTTGTTGTTGTTTGTTTGTCTTATGGGCCTGTTTGTCCTTTGAGACAAACTTAATGCTTCCTCGCAGAAACTTTGAGGAAAAAGCTTTCAGACTAGAGGGAAAATGACAACTGTTTAATCCTATGGCAGCTTTTTCTTCCATGTGAGTGTAAAAACATACCTGAATTTTATATTGGAATAGAAATCTACCTTCCCCATCTGCTTCCGTATGGAGTAGCGCTGATCCAAAATGTGCTCAAATTGCTCAATAGGTGACCCGTAGTTCTTTGAGGCTGGGTTCTAAATCCAGGGTTCGTGGGTTAATGCGATGCGACCACCACGTACAGCTTTGGTGTTGTTTAAAAAAGGTGTTCTTAAATAGTGCCTGTTTTGGAGTATGGTTTCACTTGTTACTTCCTGTAAAGTTGCTGCAAGTTTCAAACAGGGTTGATAGGAGTAGAAGGAAACTAATTACCTTGCTTCCTCGAGGGCAGTATCCAAGAGGTTTCATCCCATTTTAAATTGTATGCAAGCGGAATAATACCTCACCGATAATCTTGAAGCTGGGTAGTATGATTGACCTCATGCAACTTGTTGCATTAATGCATTACTAGAGCGAGCGCATAGCTGCTGAAGTTTGGTGCCTGCGTCTATTAAACTGGGCTACTGGCCGTGCGGCTGAATCTTGTACCCATGCATGCATCGTGCGTTAACGATACTGGGCGTACCGCCGCTGCAGCGTGTAGAGTTGGACAGAACTGGCGCCCGTGCTACAGCAGCTTGTTGCACCCGTGCATTGTACAGTGTTAGTGCACGTGCTAGGGCCACCCTCTAAAGCAACATGGGTGCAAGTACAGGGCATGCAGTGAACCCAAGGGAGTAGCTGCTGCCCCCAGGATTGTGGGCGGATTTGCAGGGGCACGAATCTGGATCCACTTGCAGATGTAAACATTCCACAAAAGGGCTCCCTAGAGAGGGGGCGGAGCTTCCTAGTGGCCGGGGGCGGAGCCTGAGATAGGGGGAGTCTAGGTTTGACCGACGTCCACCTAATCCAATCGTTGACCGGTTCCTGTAGGCGGCATTCAATGAGAGGGGAGTGGAGGAGGGATTGGGCGGGGCTTGTTTCCTATACGGACATTTTTCCTCGGTCCCCCCCTTCACATCCCCTTCCTGGGGGTTGTGTCCAATAGGGGCGGGAGATGGGGGTGGGTACTGCGCTGTGATTGGGAGAGGCGGTGAGTGGCAGGCAATGTACCCAATGGAAGCGCGGGGGTCTCCCCCCGGGCCGGGGAGGGGCGGGATTTCCCGGGGAACAGAGAAGCGGGCAGCGCTCGGCCGCCGCCGAGAGACGGTTACTCCATTTTACCCCCCCCTCACCGGAGCCGACCATCCCTCGTATCCGCCCAGGCCCAGCCGCCCCTCACCCTCTCCACTGCCCGAGCTGAGCAG